TCAATGGGTCGTATGAACATCATCCACCGATTCATTTTGCATTATCTGAAAATGCTCCGATTCGTTAAGTGTATCATAAAATGGTATAACGACGGAGACGTTTAATAGCTGTTACAGACTGACCAGCGTACTAGCAAACAAGCATGCACACACAAACTTTAAAACGAAATCTGCGGGGGGGGGGGGGGTAATGCTACGTCTGCTCCATATTAGCTGCACTCAAAGGCCTTTGATCACGAACCGTTGAGTAGACCGTAAACAAAGAGGCTCATTCAATCGTATAGTTGATTCGTTTTATGGCAATAATGCCTGATTACATATTTGTTTACTGCACGCAGAAGGAATCGTGATCAAAGAAAAATGCCGTGAACGAAACCATTTTTCTTTTATTTTTAGTAAAGGTATCTATTGAGCCAATGGACATGGCAATGCGCCGTATCAATCCCCCAAATAGGAAGTTAAAACTAACTAAATGTCCTGATCTTAAAAAAGAAAGAAAAGAGAATTAACACGCATCTCAAGCTTTAGGCTCTAGCTCTGCTCCGCCATGCATCTCATCTTGCTTAGGCTCCAGCTGTTCCTGGTCGGGGCAACTAACTAGAAACGTGTTAGGGACTGGCTCGTCGTGGATTTTCATATCTCTCACACACACTGGCGTCAGGACATATCAGCACAAACGCGGTTCATGTCCTTTAACGATGGATTTAATCCATCTCAACTTTTGCCTGTCACTTGAATATACAGAAAAAAAAAAAACAGATTTATTCGACAGACACAAAAATCCGACGGACAAAGCCGTGCTAGTTACTATCTCTAGTGAGCAGCCAATCAGAATCTACCATCAGACTTAATCTTAGTATTCAATTTTTTGTGCTTTCTCTGAAATTACGTGTGGTTTATGACCATTTGCGTGTGGTTTATGACGTGGATCTTTGTGATATGGACGGGTAATTCTTGTACTTAAACTGTGTAGAATAGTGTTCAGAGGCGTCGAATGTTGTGTGTAAGCCAGGATTGTCTCGGAAAAGTCACTTCCACTTTTAAAAAGCTTCACACGTGGTCAATGAAAGGAGAGAATGGGTAGTCGGGATGCCAATAAGTGTCCTGTTCAAGTGTTGCCAAGTAAGCTTAGCATAATTTTTCTCAGCGTCGCCTCTGCATAAATCGTAGGAGTCTCACTGGGATCTTCTCGTATTCTGACCCCTCCCCATCTTCAACATGACGAGTTGACGATGTAGAACGGCAGAGTGAAGCAAAGTTCGTACGCAACACCATGGAAACCGGCGCCGATATATTATGCATTCGTGTAAATCTCCTGTAGCTTGTTCATGCCAACAGTCTTCCCCAACTTGCTCGGCGCATACCCCCGAATTAATAGAGAGTTTCCAGCGAACACACAAAATAGTGTTCTTCCTGGCTGCAATTATTGATATAGTGACGCCGAATTCGGTCCACTTGGTTCTTAGCTTTACCACCACCACATCAAGTGAAAACCTTGAGTATCTTTCACTGCCGCACAATCGTCCTCAACTCTGGATTTAAAAGCTCATCTCGAGCCCTACATAACTCCCGGCACTGTAGTACTACTGTTCTCCGACGAGTTTTGGCCACATTGAATCCATCATCTTCTCTTTGTCTGTACGTACACCTGCCTCGATCACCCAGTTGGTTAACTTGGTGTACCTCAGCAGGTCGGCATTAGACCACGCAGGCAAAATCACAATATGTGAATTGTCGTCGTGTTTAGCATCAAAGAATGCAAAGACAGATGTCTGTTTGTATGGCTCAACTAATCTTGATAAAAATCGTCAACAAGGACGATTGCGCCCGCAGTATTAGAGCGATGCTCGTGCTTCGTATTACGGAGCTTTGTTTTTCGTCGTTTCGCCCTACGAAATTCAAACAAATTCACGTGCCCGAATGTTATGTTTATCCTCCTACCTCAGAAGTATGAATTACCACTGTAGTTATTTGTGTTTTGTTGCTGTGTATTATATCAGCGTCACATTAAATGTGAAAATATAAAGCGATATAATCTGTACGTTACCCCGTTCACCCTAATTTTTCTGCTTTGCACTTTCCAAAACCATTGATATGTTTCTCAGTTACACTGACGTGACAATCCTAGTGCTGAAAATAGTGTGCTATTTCCAGGTTACCCTGCATGCCTTCCTCGCGGCCACAAAAACTAGAAACATCATCAACGCAAAGTTAATACCAACATGAGCTTCCTCGACCGCTTCCAAGGTAAAATCGCGACCGTCACAGCTCAAGGACATCTTAAGAAAGCAGACGGAAGCGAAGAGATTCGTGTCGGTGCTCCGAAGCGCAGATCACAACCACAGCAGCAAAAGTCTGCACAGCAGCGGCCAGTTGAAAATAACAACAGCCTCTACGACGGCCAAACCATGTTGCGACAGCCAACGAAGGTCCAAGTCCGGACTGATCTGGGTCGAGCTGCGGCTAGTCCCCCACCTCCTATTCAAACCCAGCGTTCTCCGATGAAGAATCCTCCTCACGAGTCTCCAATAGCGTCTCCAAGGGGAAGAGTGAACAGCTACCAGTCCAAAAGCGCTCGTGGTGCAGTAGATTACGACTACTACGAGCCTACCGGAGTCCCAGGCCGCGTTCTAGACGACTATTCAGATGTCCAGCCTCCACGTCAACCTCTAACTATCAGATCTCCTGACCACAATACGAAGAACGCATCGATGCAAAACTCGCCTAAAGAATGTCGTTCTCCAAGAGAAATCAACGAGGGTCGAGTAGTCACTGAGCAAGACCAGCTAGCCTTCAGTCGCAAGGCTCGTCCTGTGCAGTATGAACCTTGTAAGTTGTCGCAATATAAAAAGGAAAAACCGGACGGATACTACGAACTAGGGAAGCTTCAACCGGACTTAAACACCGACGAACTAGTCGAGAAGCGAGCGAAGAATGAACGAATTAAAGCGTTCTCACAGAATCTGCGGGTTATTAACAAGAATGCCTCCAAGAAACCCACCGACATATCGAAAGAACAGCCAGCAAACCTAAAACCAAAGTCGAGTCGGGAAAAAGGACTGGCCTTCGCTAAACGCGTCCCAAAGCCCCGACTATCGCAGAGATCGGACTCAGCTGAGGAGATCCAGACAACCAACCCGAGAGCTTCACGCACGCAGATCCCAAAGCCAAAGAACCCAAATGTTGTG